TCAAGGGAAACTGTCTCAAGAAAGACAAAGAAAAAAATTGTTTTAAGAGAAACTGTCTCAAGAGAGACAAAGACAAAATTTGTTTCAAGAGAAATTGTCTCAAGAGTGACAAAACTTAGTTCCAAAAGAAACTGTCTCAAGGGAGACAAAATTTGTTTAATGTAAAACATATTCAAAGATTTTGTTCCAATGGAAACTATCTCAAGAGAGACAAAATTTATTTCAAGGGAAACTGTCTCAAGAGAGACAAAATTTATTTCAAGAGAAATTGTCTCAAGAGAGACAAAATTTTGTTTTGAGTAAATTAGTCTCAAGCGAGACGACCCCTTGTTTCTAGAGAAACAATCTCAAAGGCGATCAATAATTTGCTTGTTCCTGCATGTTAAAGAAATCCTTTCAGAAGCTCTAATCGTTGACTTAAGGAAGTCAAATATGTGGATGAAATGTTTGCTGTGATGCTAAATCACTTCATTGGGCACGATATCCTTCTTCGTGAAGTTGAAATCGTGGATGGTTGAGCATGATATCCTCCGTCATGGAGTGAAATCGTGGATTTATGATTACGATGTCCTCCGTCATGGAGTTGAAATCGTGGATGGTTGCTTCGTTGTGAAGTTGAGCCTTAACTTGAATATCATTCGTCGTGAAGTTAAAATCTAAGCTTGTATTGTTTCGATTCTAATATCCTTCACTGTGAAGTTGAAATTGGCTCTGAATGAAACTGGGAAGCCCTTTCGCTGTGAGGTCGAGCAACCACCATCAACTTTTGAATGTGCTTTTGAATCGAGTATCTTTCGTCTTGAAGTCGAAACTTGACTCAAAAATTGCAAAAATTATGTATGTTAAAAATGATAAATGTGATGCTCTTAAGTATGCATAAGATGCATGCAACATGAATTAGTTATGTTCTATCTACTGGATGAAGCCTCATTCTTTGTTTGCTTGTTCCTATATGTGGAGGAAAGACCTTCAAAAGATGTGATAATTCACATTAGGATGTTGAATCCCCAAAGATGCCCCAATATTCGATATTGAATTTTCAAAGATGCCACATTGTTCCTCATTTCTTGCTTTAGCATTGATTCTAAGCATGAGTTTTGTGTCTGAGAGCCACATGTCATTTACCAATATCCACTCTAGAGAGATTGTCTTGTTTTAAAAAAATGGTTTTCTTTCTCTTTTATTTCAAAGTTCTGAAAATATCAATTAAAAGAGTTTCGAAAAATGTTTAATCAAAAGTTTTGAAAATATTGCCCCTTTCACGGTGTTACAATTGATATGAATCATAAAACTAGAGTTCATTGGATATCAAAGAATTAATTACATTGTTAATCCTTCAATAAATTATAGCTATTTGACAAGTGCCAAGATCAAAGCTATCTTTGGGAAATGGTTAAACAAGGGAAAAAAGTCTCAGGTTATTGTGTTTAGTCAACGTTTTGGCATTTTTGTTTATTTGATTCTCAATGGTTTCATGGGGTAGCTCGCATGCTCCTTTACTGTAAGTGTTCTCCGACTCCCAGCTTTCATGGTCACACTCAGATTGTGCGATGTCTTATCAAGGAATTTGTATATTAGAGCTGCCTTTTCGGGTTTTCAACTCGAATCCTCCTTTGGTTTCAAGGCGTAATCAGAATCTACGTCTTGAACCCCATTTGTTTTTTTTCTATCATGCATTAAAGATTTAAGAAAACTTTTTGTAAATAAAGATTAATCCTGATGGGCGGGATGAAATCTGAAGATAGTCTTTTCTGTTCAGAAATCCATGTATGATTAGAAGGGACTTTTAAGGCACGTAACGTAGGTCATGGTTCATAGTTATGAAATAAAATGATAAACATGCCCAAACAAGTGTTTCAGGGTATTGAACCAATGATCAATTCATTCTGATGCCTTCAATCTTATCTTGCTCAATTTGAATCTGCTCATATGTGTTTCTCTTGATTTTCTTTGGATGCTACATGAACTTCGAGTGAAGTGATTCTGGAATGATTGTGCTTGATCAATCTCATAATTTGAATCTCGATGCGTCATTTGAATCGAGAGAATCTTTGCATATACGTCTTGTTTTCTTTTTCTTCATTTTTCCTTTGATTTTGCTTTTTCTTTTTTCTCTTTTTGTTCTTGATTGGATCTTCGCACTTGGCATTTGGTTCACCTTTTGGTATCTCATTGGATTGATGTCTTCACTCATGTGAGCAGATTTCTTCCACCTTGCCCCCCAGTATGGAGGGTGATCCTTGGTTAGGGTTGAATTAGAAGAAAAACACTATAGGCTCAATAGGGGACACAAGGGATATATATTTTCTCCTGTTGTGAAGGGATAAAGAAAGAAAGTCGTTCATCATTTCATACATGGAAGTCTTCACAGAAAAGGTATCCCCAAGGGGATAGATTTTCAGGATTAATTTTATTCACATGAAAATAATGTAATTAATGCATGATAGAATTATTTAGAATGAATTCTTCTTTCTGCTTCTTGCTCTCAACATGTCTCAATGTTCAGGCTCCCTACGAGATGTCCCAAGTTGTGTCTTAGTATAATGTTCATGTTCAAATGAACAACTCAATACCTTGCGTTTTAATGGTATACAAATGTCAATTTTGAGTCTAAAAAGACAATGTTGTGACTTGATTGACTCAAAGAAAGGTATGGGTATGACTCTTTGTGCATCGAAAAGATAAAGACAATGTTCAAAAGTTTCAAAGGGTGGTGATATCAAAATCTGGTCTTTTGGTAATGACCATGAGTTATTTTGGGTAAAGAATCAATGTATTTTATTTTAGAACAGGATAAGAAGGGTCTGATCTTGTCATATGTCAAAAATCTATAATTCTTGAAGAATTAAAAATATTTAATTAATTTAATATTCAAAGAACCAAAGATTAAAAATCATTCAATTATTCCACCTTAGAAGGTATGATAAATTCAGTCATTTAAAATATTAAGAAAATATGAAAGATCAAAACATTTTCAAACAAAACCATGCTGTCAGTGCTAATGGTATATCCAATGCCCCCTTCTTCGATTGTTCATACCCCTGAATCAATAAAGTTTTGGATCTTGCGCTTTAGTGTGTAACGGTTCCCAGAGGAATATTCGGAGCTTCCTATGTGGTAACTGTACACAGCTTCAACATCGTAACCCTTAGGATATGGGGAATCTTTTCTCAGATCATCCTGACAATGTTAATCATATAATCAGCTAATCAGACTCTAATTGTACTGATTTCAATTTTCCTTAATTGTTCAAATATTTCTTCCATGTGGTGTCATGTGGTTAAGAACACTTCATCGAATCCTCCATGAAGAAATTTCATGAAAATGCTTAAAAATGAAATGTAGATATAAAAATGCAAAATGCATGAAATGCTCGAGGCATTGATCCAAAAACATGTATGTTATTATAAATAATCCTTATTGGGGACAAAAATGTTTTATCTTTTAAGAGATAAAAATATCAAAGGTATATTTTGACTAAATCTTTTAGACCTCGAACGACTTCTGACTAGTCCTCTATCTTTGTCTGTCACCGGTTGAATACACTGTCGAATTGCTCTGGCTTCTCTGGGTGGACCGTGCAAGTATTGATATGTTTTTTGTACTTGTTCCAAAAAGTCTCGAATGGATGTTTTTTATACTTGTTCCAAAAATTCTTGAATGACTACATCTCTGAATTTCATCTTTTGTTGCATCTGTTCCTGACGAATACGTCATTGGAGCCCTCCATCAAAAGGAACTATCTGAACCTCACATGCTTGCTTTATGAATTCGTCAACAATGACCTCTAATTTCAGCTATCGCTTTGTCAGCTTGTTCTTTTTGTCTTTGAAAAGACTCTCCAGGTCAGCAACCTTTTCTCATCTTGCCCCTGCAATATTTGTCAACCCGTTTTGGAAAAGTTGACTTTCGACGTGCTCGATGTAAACCCGGTCCATTCTGACCTTTATAACGTAACAGAGTGGAATAGCTTCGATTACGAATACCATGTCTTCTTGGTTGAATTGTCTTGCAGATTGTCTCCCTGAACATAGCCGAACCTTTGTGTTTTTCACCTCTTGTATTACAACCCCTTTGTCTATTAATACAAATTATTTACGTTTAACGAACATATTTTTAGTGGACCAATACCTCTTTTAAATGATGCGAATGATGAAAACAAAATAAAAGAGAACAAAAAAAAAATAAAATAGTTAGTGAGGTAAATCAAAACAATAATAAAAATGAAAGATCATACCCCACATGCTTTAATTCCTACCCGGACATGATCTCTATCCCGCATGCTAATTTCAAACAAATCCTAACCGCATATTTGTCTAGTTCGCATGCTTTGAACAGAAAGTAAAGCAAGAAACAAAGCAACCTAGGGTTCGGAATGAGGTTTTAGGGTGGGCTCTAATTTCCTGTACTCTCCCGGTTTAGGTTCTAAAAAGGGTACCTGAGTTCTCCTTGCCGGTGCCCCCTTGGGCTTGCCAGACCCTTAGTCCTAAACCCATCACAGGCTTGTGTGGACTAAGTTAAACTCGAGAGGATACATTCCCTTATGCCCATACGGAGAATAAATTCACACGAAGGCATAAGGTATATGAATCCCAAAGGTTACTTACTAGGCCATAAGGTGAATAAATTCACACGAAGGAGTCGCTTTCACCCCCACTTAAAATGGGTTCGGAGCTCGGGTATAGAGCCAAAGATGAAAGTTTTTCAAATATGAAATCATTGAAAGAAAACATCAATACAACTATTTATTTGAAAAATAATCAAAGGTAAATAATTGGATTCAAATAAATAAATTAAAATTTAAAGTTACCATTTTCGCATAAAAAGACAACCGAAAATTAATTTCGGCCTAACTCACTTACCTGTCCCCAGCGGAGTCGCCAAGTTGTCGATACCGTCTTTCGGTTAAGCCCGAAATTGGGCTTCAACTTGAATAATTTGGGTTAGAGTCACCACCGACCACTTTAAAACAAATTTAGGTGGGTCGGACACCATCTTACCTGATCTGCATTGTACCAGAAACGTGTCGGGTTTGGGAGTTGGTTACGGTCAATGAAGGATTAGCATCTTTGAACCGCCTTTTCGGTACCAATTAATTTTTCGGTTGTCTTTATTTGCGAAAATTTAAATTTAAATTGAAATTCAAAAATTCAATCCGAATTAATTACATTTGATCGATTGAAAGTATCCATATCCCATGTTTTGCGTGTAGAGAAACTGGATTTGCAATGAAAATGCTCTGCCACTCCTCGTGCTTTTAGATATTGGCTTTGGATCCTCCACGCTTATTTTTTGTCCTTTTCTTCCCTCGGTTTTTCCAAATCGTTGCCCCTTCCTCTGATTTTGATTCCACGTTTTTCTTTTTGTCATTTCCTCTTGATGCTTGAGTCTATTTATAGTCTAAAAAACATATTTTTAGCTCAAATTTAGAATCCTACTTGGACTCAAAATGCTTCGGTTTTAGTGTTTCAATAGGACTCAAATACATGGGGTTTAGTGTTTCAATATGACTTAAATACGTTGGTTTTTGTGTTTTAATAGGACTCAAATAGGTTGATTCATTTTTTGAATCTCACTAAATCAGAGTTATTGAGTGTGGGGCCTGCAAAAATAATAAAAGAAAAAAATATTAATAATAAATAAATAAATAAATATAATATAATATTTTTGTAGATCCGGACAAAAACAGGTGTCTACAGGTTGTAATTTGCTCCTAGTATTTGATTGTTTCAACAAAGATTGAGTGCACTCTCTTTTTTTAAAAAAAAATGCTAAAACACGTGTATTTCACCATTCTCTATTTTCATCAGATTAATTTATCATAAAATTTGTCAATTCGACGAAAATATATTTAAACGTTCAATATTTTAGCACTTTAATGTTCGCCGAGTTAATTTTGAAGTATGTTATTCCTCTTCTTGAGAGAAAGCTTCCCACAATTTTATTTTTTTAACAAAAACTCAAAATCCTAAACTTTATATATATTTTTCGTGTTTGATTTTTTTTGGTGAATTGTATGGCTGTTCAACCGTCATACAGGGAATACTAGTACAAGTCTCTTTAAAAATCTCTGAAATCCTATGCGAAGGAAAATGGTACTCATACTAGTATAAATATAACAAATCAATCTAATGAGTCTTTCGTTAACAAAGGAATGATCCAATAAGGAGGATCAATATGATAAATAATCTCAAGATAATCATTCAATATGCTTTTGGAAAGCGCTTCGACCACGATATTTCCTTCTCGCCTAATATGCTGGATGGTCACAATCCAATCTCGTCGATAGCTCCTTCAGATGCCAATGGAGAAAATGATTACTACTAGTATCACTCTTCAATATCTTAACAACCTCAAGACTATCAAGCTCAAGAACAATCTGGCGATAACCTGCCTCCCAAGTAAAACACAACCCATAGTACGCGCCTCATAATTCGACATCTAGAACAGAATAAATCCCGATAAATTTCGTAAAACCAAAACGCCACTCACCAAGATGGTTTCGATAAACCCCACTGCAAGCAACGAATCCATTACTATCTCTTCTAGCCCCATCTGTATTAACATTGACCCACGACAACATCGGAGGAGACCATTGAATCTCACGCCTATCAATATCAGCTTCAGCAGGCACGATTCGATTGGAATCGCTCAAGGCCCGAACAGTGGCCGCAACAAGGTGTCTGCTACGCTCTACAATCGTTCCCAGACCTGTCGTCGGATTCCAAAAAGTCACAAATTCCGAGCAAGCCAAATGTTCCAAAGTACATAAGCAAATAACATCTCCCAATTCTCAATTTTTTTGCAGGTCATGAATCACCATTTAAATTAGCATTAATCCAATCATGTAAATCCAAAGCATAGAATTCATCAAATTTGGAAGTACTTACAAGAGTAGACCAAGATTGAAAAGCAGACAGATAATTTTTAAACACATGCTCAATATCTTCGACCATTCCACTGCAAATCATGCACCGGCTGTCCATAGAAAAGTTTTGTTTGCACCGTTCCTCATTAGTCATAAGCTTTCGACAACACATTAGCCAAAGAAATGCTTTAACCTTAGGTAATCCTCGGAATTTATGAATCGAAGACCAGACGGAATTTTGATGAATCAAATTATGACTATACCGAAGCATATAAGCAGACCGCAATCAGAAGGAATGATCCTTAGTTCCATGCTACCCGATCGGATCAAAAGACAAACGAACATCTGAAGCTTTGATTCCGGTAATGCGCATCAGGATATCTTGGGGTAGCAACGTGTCAAACAAGTGCCAATGCCAATCTCCCCGATTACCAGCCATCGAAGCCACCGTTATAAGTTGGATGGTCGAGACAAGCTCGGGATCAACATATTCAACAAGGGGGTCCACATCCTCAATCCAATGATCGTACCAAAAATAAGTCTCTGTACCCTAACCAATGGATCGAATCAGATTATTACGAACATTATCCCAAACGGTGTTTATACTCTTCCAAAGATGAGAGCAATTGGTGCTACGTAAAGAATCATACACTCCATCCCCACACTTATATTTTGCCCGAGCAAAGCACACCCAAAGAGTATTCCTACAAACAAGAAACTAAAACGCCAACTTCATTAGAAAAACATCATTCACAAATTCCAATTTACGAAAGCCTATACCACCATCAACAATAGGCCTACACATATCGTCTCATTTAACCAAATGAACCCCTCCTCTTTATGAAGTTATTCCCCAAACAGAATGATGTATATGTTAGATTTGGCTTGAAATTAAGTTGGTAAGTTGGAAATTTCATCTTGGTTGGTGGCCAACTTATTGGAAATTTCATCTTGGTTAGTGGCCAATATTGGAAAATTCTTTGGTAGGTGGTCAAACTTTGAATATGGGAATTCATATTTGATCCCTAAAATATTTGGTTATTTATAAGTTTAGTCCTTAAAACTCAATTATAAATAGGCCTAAGTATTTCCATTAGAAATCATCTCAAAACAAGTTTTCTCTTCCTCTTGTTTTCTTCTCCCACTTTGGGAATTCTAAAGAATTCCATTTGTTGTAATATTTGTTGATAGTGAAGTTATCATCTGGTGTGGTACCCGAGGAGTAGACGATATTCTCGTCGAATCTCGTAAATTTGGTGTGTTCTCTCCTTTATTATTTTTATTCGGTTTTTTCCATTGTGTTTCAATATTCAATAGTTTGACAGATTTATCCGTTGTGCAACCTTTGGTGGTTTTGATCTTGACATTTTAGGTCAATTTTAAAACGACGGTCGTGTGGGAAATAACCTGATTTCCCCAATAATTGGCATCAGAGCTTCAGTTGAGGTTATCATGGTGGTTCCGTTGCTGAAAAGATACAGTTCGTGCTATTGAATATTGTTCGTTGGAATTAAAATGCCAAAATATGGATCAGTTGAGATATCAAGCTCTTCATCCAGACCGGTGAGGAGGATGATGTCAAATGCAAATTTCTTGGTAGAGTTGTTCGATGGATCCAATCATTTTGGCATGTGGCAATGTGAGGTGTTAGACGCTTTATTCCAACAAGATCTAGACATCGCCATTAAGGAAGAAAAGCCCGAATAAACGGAGGAAAAAGAATGGGGAACAATCAATCGTTTGGCGTGCAGCACGATTCGATCTTGTCTTTCCAGGTAGCAGAAGTATGGCTACAAGAACGATACTTCTGCAAGTAAGATGTGGAAAGCATTGGAGGAAAAATTCCTAAAGGAAAACTCTCAGAATTGTCTCCACATGAAGAAAAGATTGTTCAGATTTGATTATCAACCAGACACCAGTATGAATAAACACATCACTGCGTTCAATGAGCTAGTGACGGACTTATTGAGCATGGATGAAACCTTCAAAGATGAAGATTTGGCCTTGATGTTGTTGTCATCTCTTCCAGATGAATTTTAGCACCTTGAGACAACGTTACTTCATGGTAATGATAATGTTACCCTTAAAGATGTAACTGCTGCTTTGTATAGTTATGAGCTCAGGAAGAAAACCAAGAAGGAGAGCAAGTACGAAGTAGCGGAGGCTGTGGTGTAAGAGGTCGCTCAAAAAGTCAAAAGCCAAAGTGCAGAGGGAGATCAAAGTCGAAGTCCAGACTAGGAAAAGATGAATGTGCCTTTTGTCATGGGAAAGACCATTGGAAGAAAGATTGTCCGAAGCTGAAGAAGAAAGGAAAAGCTGCTCCAGAAGCATGTGTTGCAGAGAATGATACAAATGACTCTGACATATCATTGGTTGCTTCATCAACAACATTCCATTCAGATGAATGGATATTAGATTCAGGTTGCACCTATCATATGTCCCTTAATCGGGAGTGGTTCTCCGATTTAGTAGAACAAAATACTGGAGTTGTTTATATGGGCAATGACAATGCCTGTAAAACTGTTGGGATTGGTTCAATTCGATTGAAGAATAAAGATGGATCAACCAGAGTTCTGACGGATGTCCGAAACGTGCCCAGTTTGAAGAAAAATCTCATCTCGTTAGGAGCCTTGGAATCCAAAGGCTCAGTAGTCACTATGAGAGATGGAGTTTTAAAAGTCACATATGACGCACTTGTGATGATGAAGAGCATCAGGAAAAATAATTTGTATTACTACGAAGGTAGTACAATTATTGGAGCAGTTGCAGCAACTTCCGGAGGTGATGATTTGGATGCAACCCAGTTGTGGCATATGCGGTTGGGACATACTGGAGAGAAATCCTTGCAAATTCTAGCAAAGAAAAGATTGTTGAAAGGTGCAAAGGCTTGCAAATTAAACTTTTGCGAGCATTGTGTTCTGGGAAAGCAGAATAGAGTGAAGTTTGGCACCACTATAGATAATACAAAAGGTATTGTGGATTATATTCACTCAGATGTATGGGGTTCTTCAAAGACATCATCTTTGGGAGGAAACCATTATTTTGTAACTTTTGTAGATGACTTTTCCAGAAGAGTTTGGGTGTATCCGATGAAGTCTAAAGATGAAGTGCTTCGAATTTTCCTGAAATGGAAAAATATGATCGAGAGCCAGACTGGTAGAAAGATCAAACGTCTTAGGACGGACAATGGAGGGGAATATAAAAGTGACCCATTCTTTGACGTTTGCCATGAGTATGGGGTGGTAGAGCGTATAAATCGAACACTATTGGAGAAAGTTTAATGTGTGTTGTCTAATGCTGGGTTAGGCAGGGCATTTTGGAATGAGGCTATGACATATGCTGGTCATCTCATCAATCATCTATCGTCATCAGCGATATGAGGAAAAACACCATTGGAGGTATGGTCTGGAAAACTTGCTACTGATTATGATTCCTTACATGTATTTGGATACACTGCTTATTATCATGTGAAGGAATCCAAGCTTGATCTGAGAGCAAAGAAGGCTTTCTTTATGGGAATCACCCATGGAGTGAAGAGATTCCGCCTTTGGTGTTTAGACACCAAGAAGATAATTTGTAAAAGATATGTTACCTTTGATGAATCTGCCCTAATAAAGAAGGTAACAAATGAAGTTGTTCAGACAAGTAGTACTCCACAGCAGGTGGAGCATACTCCAAAATAGGTGGAGTTTCAGCAGATGATGATCCCAGAAGTTGATGCAACTATTCTTCAACTCCAATAGAAGAATCAGAAGATGAAGATGTTCAAACCCAAGAACCATTGGAGACACCAGAACCACTTGCAGTTACAAGGCCAAGAAGAGAAATTCGTAGACCTGCTCGATTTGTTGATATGGTGGCCTATGCTCTTCCAGTTGTTGATGATGATATCCCTATCACTTACCAAGAAGCAATACAAAGCTTGAAAAGTTATAAGTGGAAAAGTTCCATGGATGAAGAAATGCAATCCCTCCAAAAGAACAACACTTGGAAACTGGCTCAATTACCGAAAGGTAAAAGAGCAATTGGATGCAAGTGGGTATTTGCAAAGAAAGATGGATCTCATAGCAAGAAAGATGTTTGCTACAAGGCACGATTGATAGCTAAAGGCTACGCTCAAAATGAGGGAATCGACTACAATGAAGTATTTTCCCCTGTTGTGAAGCATTCCTCCATTAGAATATTGTTGGCCTTGGTAGCACAGTTGAATTTGGAGCTAGCTCAACTTGATGTAAAGACGGCTTTCTTGCACGGTGATTTAGAAGAGGAGATCTATATGACTCAGCCAGAAGGATACAAAGATGATGGTTGTGATAAATTGGTTTGTAAGTTGAACAAATCACTACATCGATTAAAGCAATCTTCGAGGCAGTGGCACAAGCAATTTGATAGCTTTATGAGGAGGCAAAAGTACACTAGAAGCAAATATGATCATTGTGTGTATTTGCAAAAGCTCAAATATGGATCTTTCATTTATTTTCTTTTGTACGTTGACGATATGTTGATCTCTTCGAAGAGTCAAAATGAGATAAACAAATTAAAGGCTCAGTTGAATCAAGAGTTTGAGATGAAAGATCTAGGTGAGGCCAAGAAGATTCTTGGTATGGAGATAAGCAGAGATAGACAGAGAGGGAAACTTTGTTTAACACAAAAGCAATATATGAGAAAGGTATTACAATGTTTTGGCATGAATGAAAATACCAAACATGTAAGTATCCCACTGACTTCTCATTTGAAACTTAGTTCTCAATTATCTCCTAAAACTAACAAAGAACGAGAGTATATGGCAAAAGTTCCATATGCTAATGCAGTTGGGAGCTTGATGTATGCAATGGTGTGTACGCGTCCTGACATTTCACAAGCAGTTGGAGTTGTGAGCAGGTACATGCATGATCCTGGAGAAGGACATTGGCAAGATGTGAAATGGATTCTACGGTATCTCCAACAAACCGTGGATGTTGGTTTAGTTTTTGAACAGGATGAAGCACTTGGTCAGTGTGTGGTTGGATATGTTGATTCCGATTATGCTGGTGATTTGGATAAGCGTCGATCAACTACTGGATATTTGTTTACTCTTGCTAAAGCCCCAATAAGTTGGAAGTCTACATTGCAATGGCCTTGTCTACTATAGAGGCAGAATACATGGCAGTTTCAGAGGCTGTAAATGAAGCAATTTGGCTTAACGGGTTGATGGAAGACTTGGGAGTTGTTCAAAGTCACATTAGTCTCTATTGTGGCAGTCAGAGCGCTATTCACTTAGTGAAAAATCAAGTCTACCATTCAAGGAATAAGCATATCGACGTGAGGTATCACTTTGTGTGGGAGATCATTGAAGAAGGAAAGATTCTACTTCAGAAAATTGCGACATCAGAAAATCATGCATATATGATGACCAAGGTGGTAATAGTAATCAAGTTCAATCATTGTTTGAACTTGATTAACATCCTGAAAGTATGAACATCTTCGGGTGTATGACACTTGTGAGCGCAATTAGAGGCACTACAAATTTGGGGAGTTGAAGAAGTTGACTAGACTTGGTAATTTCAAGCCAAGGTGGAGATTTGTTAGATTTGGCTTGAAATTAAGTTAGCAAGTTGGAAATTTCATCTTGGTTGGTGGCCAACTTATTGGAAACTTCATCTTGGTTGGTGGCCAACATTGGAAAATTCTTTGGTAGGTGGCCAAACTTTGAACACGGGAATCATATTTGATCCATAAAATATTAGGTTATTTATAAGTTTAGTCCTTAAAACTCAACTATAAATAGACCTAAGTATTTCCATTAGAAATCATCCCAAAACAAGTTCTCTCTTCCTCTTGTTTTCTTCATTCTCTCACTTTGGGAATTTTAAAGAATTTCATTTGTTGTAATATTTGTTGATAGTGAAGTTATCATCCGGTGTAGTGCCCGAGGAGTAGACGATATTCTCGTCGAACCTCGTAAATTTGGTGTGTTCTCTCATTTATTGTTTTTATTCGGTTTTTTCCATTGTGTTTCAATATTCAATAGTTTGACAGGTTTATCCGCTGTGCAACCTTTGGTGATTTTGATCTTGACATTTTAGGTCAATTTTAAAACTACGTTCGTGTGGGAAATAACCCGATTTCCCCAACAGTATAAGTCTCTCAATAGTTGAGCGAGCTACTTTAGGGAGAACCGCCGTCTGCAAGTGCAAGGTATAAGTTGGGATCGCAGAAAGAATCGTTTTTGCTAATAAGATTATTCCTGCCAAAGATAAACACCTGGCTTTCCATCCGCTAAGCTTCCGTTCGACAGTCTGAACAAGATAATGGTAGGAGGCTGTGGTGACCCGCTGGTGAAGAACCAGATCACCAAGATATTTCCCAAGATTGGTTACCTCGCCAATCCCGAAACCATTATTGATCGAGTTACGAAGATTGCTAGGAACATTCTTTGAAAAGAATATCGTAGTCTTGGCCACACTGACTCTATGGCCAAACACCATACAAAAATCAGCAAGGACACGCTGAATAACCTACAACTGGTCCATCGAGGCCTCAGCGAATAAAATCATGTCATCCGCAAAAATAGGTGGGAAGTATCTGGGTCACGAGAAAAAGTTTTGAAAGGTTTCCAAAACCCCCAAAACAACCGTATGAATTGATTGAGAGAGACGTTCCATACACAGAACAAAAATATAGGGGGATAAAAGGTCACCCAGACGAATCCCCCGAGGAGTAAAAGGATCAGTCATATCCCCATTCCAAAAGAGTCACGACGATACTGTAGTAACACATTGCACAATTAACTTTCGAAAAGTCTTCGGAATTCTAATATCAACTAAAGTATCCATCCCTTCTTACCCGTCTTCTTTCGGATCGAATGAACAACTTCTTGAATCAGAATGATGTTGCCCGTGATCAAGTGACCAGGCACAAAACCCAATCAGGGATGGAAGACTTTAGACAATTCACCAAAATCTTAGAGATAATTTTGTAGATGACAGTGCAGAGACTGATCAGACGGAATTGACTCATTGTCTCAGGCAACGAAACTTTCGGAATGAGAACAATTAATGTCTGGTTTATATAGACCGGAATTTCTCCGGTACTAAACACATTCCTAACAAACTCGCAAACAGAAGCACCCACATTTGTCCAGTTTTTCTGAAAGAAACCAGCATTCAATCCATCTACACCAGGGGTCTGAGAAGCTCCCATATCAAAAAGACCCCATTGAACCTTATCATTAGAAATTGGGATCGTGCATCTTTCACACTCCGTCTGTTTCAACCTACGGAAAAGACCACGGACAGGATACGGCTGTTGCCCACCCATCGAGCTAGTAAAAAGATTCTTGAAAAATTCAGTGGCCAACTTAATTAATTCATCAGCATCTGTACACCAACTCTCATCATTCCTTTTAAGAGTATATATATGATTAGTTCACCTTCTCTCCTCCACGGACTTATGAAAAAACTTTGCATTCCGATCCCACTGTAAAATCCATTATGAATAAGCTTTTTGTCACCAAAGAGATTATTCCTGATCCATAACAGATTCCAGTTTCAAATTAAGCTTTTTCGATAGCGAAACTAAAGACCAAGAATGTCTTCTGCTCAAAGAACGTTCAATACCTCAGATACGGGCCCTAAGTTTCCTTTTTTCCCCAATGTATCCAAACACCTCTTTATTCCAAGTCTCAACTTTCACACGAAATTGGTTCATATTATCAACCAACGAACGATTACTCTCCCACACTGAAACAAGAAAGTCAGCAAACTGCGGATGAGACTGCCACTCATTGATAAAACGAAAGGGATGATTATGCTGATGATGATCCCAATCGCCTAAAGAAATGAGCAGGGGCCGGTGATTAGATCCCAACCTATCAAGATGCAACACAAGAGTCAAAGAAAGTAGTTGTCCATGAAGAACTAACGACACAACCTATCCAGCCGTTGATAAAGATACCAAGTAAAAGGGGAACCACGAAACCCCAAATCAGTCAAACTATTAGCAAAAGGAAAATCCGAGAAAGCCTTAATGCCACGCTTATTTAATAAGGCTCCACCACGACGTTCTTCAAGAGACAGGATGACATTAAAATCACCTCCAATGAGCCAGGGAATCCCATCTTCAGGGTTGATACTCGCAAGACGCTGCCAAAGATTTGACCGTCCCACTTTGGATGGACTCGCATAGACAGCTGTAAACTGAAAATGAACCCCCAGATCCTTCACATACACCTTCACATTAATAAATTAGTTAGCCACTTGAATAATATCAACTGTAACAGTCTCCTTCCAAAGCAACCAAATACCTCCTCGGAATCCATGAGCTTCCACTCTGAAAGATCGATTGAACCCAAGAGTACTAATAACCCGGTCGGAAATGGTACCACTTACTCGTGGTTCAAATAAAGCCACAACCGAAGGATGAAACTCACGAATAAAATTTAAGAAATGACCCTTAAACACCAAGCTAGCTGCTCCTTGGCAATTCCAAAGCATGATACTCATCATCAAAACGAAGAAAAAATGCGACCCTTAACATTCACTGATGGTGCCTTCACCCACGGGCACATCCATCAGAGTATCAGAATGGACAAATCAGTAGCCATGTGATCTTGTTGTCACTCTTCCATGTATTATTGGGACTCCTGGATACTTATCTAGGTTATGAACTTCCTTGAATCCGAATTCACCACTGATGTTTTTCCTCATAACCTCTGGAACATTTTGAGAGAAGAATATGTTCGTCTTTTCAATGCTTATTTTCTGTCCGGATGCTTTACAGAATTTCTCCAGCACGGACCGAATTATTTCCATTTGATTGGTTGACGCTTTCGCAAATAGAATCATATCATCTGCGAAAAATAGGTGAGGTATCGCTGGGCTATCTTTCGATGTCTTGAACGGTTTTCATTGCCCATTACGTACCTCTCTATTTATTGCCTGTGCTAGCCTCTCAATGCACATGACGAACAGCTAAGGTGATATTGGATCGCCTTGTCAAAGTCCTCGTGTCGATTTGAATGGTTTTATCATGCTTCCGTTCCAAATTATCTGTGTTGAAACTGATTTAACACATACCATTATTTGTGTTCTCAAATTCGGTGGTATTCCGATATCTTGGAGTGTATCTTCGATGAATGTCCATTCTAAGTGGTCGTATGCTTTTTCGAGGTCAATTTCTATTGCCATCCATCCTCACTTCCCTTGTTTTCTTCTCATGGAGTGAACCACCTCTTGTGTTATTATGACATTATCCGTAATTGATTGGCCTGGAACAAAACTTGTCTGTGTATGTGAAATCCAATCGGGCAAAAAAGGCTTGAGTTTATTAACCATAATCTTCGTTGCTGCTTTGTAGAGTACACAGCATAAACTTATTGGCCTAAATTGGCTTAGATTCTCTGGTGTGTTTGTTTTCGGCAATAACACAAGCATTGTGCGGTTTAGTTCCTTAAAAAGAGGTTCTCCATTGAAGAAGTTTTGCACCATTTGACAAAATGATTCGCCTACCTGCTGCCAATTTCTTCGGTAGAATCCGGCATGTAATCCATCTACTCCTGGTGCCTTCCACGGGCTCAAAGACGACTCTTTTTATTTCATCTTGCGTAACTGGCGCCGATCGTTCCTTCAAAGCCTCTGGATATTTATTAGTGAAGTCACCTCGTATTTCATAATTAGAATCAGATTCTCCGGAGCTTGTGAAAAGCTTTTGGTAGAAATCCACTGTCATATCTTTTAGCTCTTCTTGGTCTGTTACTCATTCTCCGTTCCCGTTTTTAAGAGCTGCCACCGTGTTTTTACTACGTTTATTCATGGTTGAGGCGGAAAAAAACTTCGTGTTTTTATTACCGTTGAGGATCCATTTGTTTCTCGCCTTTTGAAACCAAAAGCTTTCCTCATGTTCAAGTACGATGTCCAGTTCCGTTTTGAGTTGTTTCTCAAGATCATTTAAGAATTCTGAATGTGCCGTACTCAGGTATCGTTCAATTCCTCTCAAACGTGGCAGCAGCTTTTTCTTCTTTTATCCTATATGGCCGAAAGATTTTTGATTCCATTTTATGACTTGGCATTTCAAGTGCTCAATGTTGGAAATTATGTCTTTGTCTCTTTTCCAGTTGGCGGCCAGGAAATCTTTGAATTGTGGGTGCTCTAACCAAGCAGCAAGAAATAGAAATGGTCTTTTTTCTTTCTCCAGGTTTTTAGCTGTTGTTTGTATTACTATTGGTGTATGATCTGAACCGATCATTACCAAGTGGGTTACAAAAGACATTGGGTACTGCTTGAGCCATTCCTCATTGACAAGCACCTATCGAGTCTTTGGTACAAGCTGCCTCTTCTCCACGTAAATGGTTATCCCAGGGTCTTAACGTCATGCAAACAGGTGTCGAAAACGAAGTCCGTAAACGATCTACTTACCCCATTTCTCCTCTGTTTACCACCCCTCATTTCGTTTTGTTTCAAAATTGCATTGAAATCTCCCCCTACCACACATGCCTCGTTGTTTCCAGGGTCAAGTTGATGAATTTTGCTCCACAACATTTTTCTTTTTTCCACACGATGACTTGCGTACACCACCGTGGAGATGATCCCTTTCTCATTTACCTTGGTCTTACGTCTACCATGTATGAATTGTTTCGATGCTTGTAGTATATCCATGTAAATGTTGCCTTTCCATAATAACCATATACCGCCGCTGAATTCTTGTGCTTCTACTCGGATGGAGTTCGGAAATCCTAAATTGTGAACAATACTGTCTGCTGCTCTTTTACTAACTCTAGTCTCCATCAGCACTGCTACTTGAGGTTTGTTTCTACTGATCATGTCCTTGAAGATTCGTCTAAAGGATTGGCTCACCGCTCCTTGACAATTCCAGAATAAGATCTTAATCATCATGTATACGATTGAAGTTTACGACCTTGCCCTGTATAATTACAAGCGCGTTCCATCTTGCACCTCTACCTAGACCATATTGTGAAACATGTCGTTACTATTCTGTGCCGCTTAATCTTGGTTCCCATTCTTTGCTTCCCCTTCATTCTGATCCGCTCCTTTTGTATTCACCATTGCACTTCCTTTGTTCGGTGTTTGTATAGCATCGAATCTTGTGGAGACCGATTCTACCCATTCCGATGATTTGGCCTTGTTAGGTGGTCTTGTTTCATATTGCGCTTTTGCCTTCATCCCACGTTTTGTGCTCAGCCTGCTTGATCTTATTGGGCCACCCACACCAGATTTGCCTCGACTCTTTCCTGGTCCTTTCTTGCCTTCATCTTCTTCAACAATTGTGATTGCAATATGTTTACTATCACCTTTCCTTGCCTCATGAATTGTTACTTCTGGAGTTGTAACTTCTGCACTAGGCACAATCTGAACTTTTGTTGCTGATATTTTTTCCACTGCTCCTATTGCATTCGTTCCTATTATCTGTGTAGTCCTCTCGAGTTGGCTTTCATTTATCTGTTCCTTCTCCTTGAAGTATTCTTTCGAGCTTCCTTCCTTAGCTTTGTTGTTTATCGCTTTATCTTTGGTTTGTGATTTGGGATTTGATCCTTCTTGTGTGCTATGTTTTTTTTTATCCTTCCTTTTTTCAAGATTGTCCCTTCAAGATTTTACCTCGATTTGTTTTTATCCTTCTTTCGAGTTGTTTTTTATCTCGATTTTACCCTTCAAGATTTATCCTTGGCCCCATGCTTTCTATTGGTTCTCGGTTTGTCAGATTATGTATGTCTTTGTCTCTTGTCCCCTCTTGCTCCCGCAACACGGAAAATCTAGAGCCCCTTGCTTCTACTGTTTTAGTGGTTTGCGGGCTGGTTTTGTTGTATTCTAGTATAGGTTTCCTTCTTCTGGTTTCCGCAATCATCCATAGACTATACGCATTGTTCTTGTCTATATTCTCTGTTTGCTGTTCCATCTGCATGTTTCTGTTGTTGTGTTCCTATGTCACTTGAGCCATCCTTCTTATTCTCTTCCGTCCTGTTCCTAGCTGCTTCACATTGATCTAATGTGAACTTTTAAGTGCCCATAGACTCCACAATTACAACATATTAAGTGCAAGCCTTCATATTCCATTTTCTGCACAAAGCCATCTATCCCTATACAAGGAATTAAAGGTTTTCCCAGGTCAATCATTATGGCTAATCATGCAAATCTGCCCCTCCCCATTTTTTCGTGTTGTAGTCTACTTTCACAAAGTTCCCTATGGTCGCGGCGATTAGATTGAAAAGGGCTTTTGTATAATATCTATACGGTAATCCTGGGACTCTTATCCATACTACCACATACGATGGGTGCTTGTCCATGGTGGAAAACGAGCGACTCAAAGGTTGTACCGTAAGATAGTTTGCATAGATTGTCCAGGGTTTCTCCGTTAAAACCTTCACATAATCCTCTTCGGTATAAGTACCCGTTTTCCAAATCAATCAATTTAAAGTTCCCTTTGAGATTCCATAAGGATGGAATTCTTGACTCTAGGGCTTTAAAACTAATCATTCTCCCAAGAAGTCTAACTATCACCGATCCCTTCATGCTTTTGTCGATCAAGTCATGAATTCTTTCTGAAAATTTTATTCTAGGGTATTCCCTGGTCCTATCGATGGTGTAGTCTCCTTCACATAGTACCACTTCCTCTTCTTCTGGCTTTTCGTTGTTTAGGTTATTAGTTTTTGATGGTTCTGTTAACATATCAGCGTAGGTTTTCTTCCTGATTTCTGTCCGTTTTCCAAGGTTCGATATGTTATCAGTAACTTCTTTTCCTTGTTCCATATTGTCGTTGTTTTCTCCAATGCAGATATCTGTCGAGCCCTCGTCAATAAAACCTTCATCCTGAGTCTGTCTATCAGTTTCAGATAATGGTGTCGTGTTTGCCTTTTTCGTTGTGTCCGGTGGTCGTCCTCCGCCAGATCCCGTAATCTCATTGTTGAAGTCGAGCGTTCTCTCTCTAGGGTTTTCCATTATATTTGTTCAGATATTTGAGTAAAGAGAATCATGGATTACGACGCTTATAATTTTTAAAATATCGAATATTCCTTTTTTTCTCTCAATAAAACTATAATTAAATTTATTTAAGATATAAAATTTTATTTTTTAATCATTCTTATTGTATTTTTTTAAATTAATCATTGGTATCCGATCTATTGACTGACTAATGGAGATCAGATACTGCAGAGGTGAGGGCTATCTCCCAACCCAATTTGCTTCATTCGCAAATTAATTCGATCTATTGTATTTTTTTTTTTTAACAATACTGTCGGAACCGTCTTTCGGTTGGGCCCGAAATTGGGCTTCGACTTAGATTAAACGAATTGGAGTCGCCACCGATTATTTATTTTAAAACAAATGGGTTGATCGGATACCTTATTTCTTACCTGATCTGCGTCTTTCCAAAGATGTGTCAGATTCGGGAGTCGGTTACAGTCAAGGAAGGGTTAGCACCCTTGAAATGCCCTTTCGGTACTACGCAATTTTCAGTTGTCTTAAATTAAGAAAATTGTAAATTTAAAATTAAAAGGTAAAAATACGATCACAATTACTTACCTTAGATAGTTTTAAAGGTGTGCCCTTAAGAAGGTCAAAAAACCATGTTAGATAAAAAGGTAAGAAATAAATAAATAAATTAATTAATTAAAATGAAAAAAATAAATTAAATAAAAGATAAGACAAAGAAAACAAAGATAAAATAGTAAGTAAAATAAATAAATAAAATATTAAAATATATATATATATATATAAATAAAACAAATAAATAAAATAATAATAAAAAAGTAAAAATAATATATATATATATATAATAAATAAAAACATAAAAAAAATAGTATATATATATATATATATATAAATTAATAAAACAGATAATAAAAAATAATATATATATATATATATATAATGTAAAAAAATAAAAATATATAATAAACTGAAAAAGAAAATGCATAAAATGTAAAACAAATACATGAAAAAAAATAACAAAACAATTAAATAAAATAAGTAATAAGAGAAATGTGCGTATAAATAAAGTTAAATAAATAAAATAATAATAATAATTAAAACGTATATGTAAGGGACCGAATCAAAAGAAAAAACAAATCGATGGACAAATTTTGAAGCAAAAAAAAATTGATTTAGGGGGAGAATTAAATATTTAAAAACAGGAACACGCCTCGGGGGTAGATCTAGGTTCGAAACCTCGAAACCTACCCCTTTTTGGTCATCGGCGCAACCCACGTTTTGGGTTATTCGAACCAAATCTCAAGAAAAATAGCATGCACATGAGAGAAATGAACGAATCAAGGTAAAAAAGATACTACCTTTTATTTTTTTTCGACTCGTTTACAATAGCTTTGCCTTTGTATTTTTTCGTGCTTTCCTTTGTATTTTTTTGTATGTAAATCGTCTGTTACAATGGCTATTTATAATTCTTGTTGATCCTATTTTTAGGAGTTTGAATCTTAGTAGAACTCTATCCTATTTTTAGGTGTTTGAGTCCTAGTAAAACTCTATCTTATTTTTAGGAGTTTGAATCCTAGTAAAACTCTAACGTTATGTTTGTTTTCTGAATCCCACTAAATCGGGATTGTTGAGAGTGTTGTACCCAGACGAAAATGTGTGTTGACAGCTGCCCTTCTTTGCCCATAATCGTGTAACGGGGATAGGGCAAAGATTAAAAGACACGTTTTTCATTCGGTGGAATTGAAAATTGACTCTGATATTTCAATAACTCTCTGTCAAATTGAGTTGCAGATGACTCCTCCGTCGTGAAGTCGAGCTCATCTTGAAATGATATGGAATTGAAGCCGTAGTTCAGAATTTGAATCAGTACGTGGCTTTTCGTTGCCCTTCGGTCTTCTTCTCAGTTTAAAGACCTTGGATCGGAATCGAACTCAGAAATCTTCGTTAACATATAGCTTTTCTTGACTTAAGCTATGCTGCTTGAAAATGGTTGCTTGTCACTAAGGCACGGCTAACACAGGTACTCTTCTCGACTTGAAAACCTTGACTGTCATCGGAAAGTAGTGTGATTGATGTGTCATCGAGCTAAATGGAATCAAACTCGACAATTTTATTGACAGATAGCCATTCTTGCCTTGAGTTATGTTGTAAATTTGATTTGCCTCTGAGTTGAATGTAATCAAACTCGAAGGTCTTTAATGACAGATAACCCTTTTAGCCTTGAGTTATGCTGCAAATGATATATCTTTGAGCTGAGCGTAGTCGAACTCGAAGGTCTTTGTTGATAGATAACCCTTCTAGCCTTGAGTTATACTGCAAATGATGTGCACTCGAAGCTGAGTGTAATCGAACTCGAAGGTCTTGGGTTTCAAGAGAAACATTTTCAAATGTTTTTTTGTGTTTCAAGAGAAACAATTTCAAAGGTGGCAAAATTTTGTTTCAAGAGAAACATATTCGAAGATTTGTGTTTCAAGAGAAACTGTCTCAAGGGAGATAAAACTTTGAATCAAGGAAAACAGATTCAATGATTTTGTTTCATGGGGAAACTGTCTCAAGAGAGGCAAAATTTGTTTCAAGAGAAACTGTCTCAAGAGAGACAAAATTTAGTTCCAAAAGAAACTGTCTCAAGAGAGACAAAATTTATTTCAAGGAAAACAGATTCAAAGATTTTGTTTCAAGGGAAACAGTTTCAAGAGAGACAAAATTTGTTTCAAGAGAAACTGTCTTAAGGGTGACGAAATTTGTTTCAAGGAAAACATATTCAAAGATTTTGTTTCAAGGAAAATTGTCTCAAGAGAGACAAAATTTGTTTCAAGGGAAACTGTCTCAAGAGAGAAAAAATTTGTTTCAAGAGAAACTGTCTCAAGAGAGACAAAACTTTGTTTTAAGGGAAACTATCTCAAGAGAGACAAAACTTTGTTTTGAGCAAATTAGTCTCACGCGAGACGACC